ATAAAAACTGAAGATTTTTTTAATAAAAAAATTATTTTATGTAGTTGAAGTGTGTAATAAAATGTCCCTAAAATTTGAAAGTGATTGGTTTTATTTTAGCTAAGAAAAAAATTTCTAAAAATGATTTTATAGCCTTATCATCCCATCAGTTTTCTTATCGGTGAATCACTGTTAAATTTGCCTAAGCATGTTACTTCAGATATTCTGAATAACAAATTGTCTGTATGACAACATATAACTAAGATCAAACAGCATTTTTGGTCCAGATGGCAGAAGGAGTATCTGCAGGAACTACACCCAGAAAAAAATGGAATATGGGAAACCGTACACGCATCAAGGAGGGAACTCTGATGGCTATCAGGGAAGATAACAGTCCGGAGATTTCCAATCTTCATTGGAGATGAACGGTGCAAGCACTGCTCACGCGAACCGTGTACAATGCATTTTTCAGGACGTCTCCAACTTTGTTCGATCGAATCCACTCGTGCTGGAAGTGTGCTTCCCTCCTCTCGTAAAATAAAACGTTATTGAGTTAAATACTGGGGGTGGGAGATTGATTTAGCTAATATTCGGTCGTTACATATGAAATGTTCGATTTTTAACGGTAACTTTAAAAGGATATAATTTTTATAAAATTAAACTTTATTAATCAAAATAAGCACCATTGCAATCTACACACTTTTTTCATTAATTTACAAGCTTTTTGATTCCATTTTGATAGGAACTTGGGTTTCTAGAGCCGATAAATTGTTCAAAAGCATTCTTGACAGACTCTTGATTGCAGGTTTTCTATCGAAAATATAGAGATTGAGGTGAAGTTTCATATTTCAAGGTGTTGAACTTCTGCGTCAATAATTGTGGCACGTACGGCCGAGTATTGTCACGAAGCGGGACAGGTCCTTTCCGATTGACTAGTGCGGATTGTTTTTCGTAAAACTTCTGGTGTACGGCTTCAACTTCAGCACAATATTTTGCTGTTGTAATTGTTTCACCTGGGTTTAAAAACTCGTAGCAGATGACACCGATCATTGACCACCAAACAATAAGCGTAGCCGCGCTTTCGGGCATCCAGGGTTCCGAGGCTTGCGCCTATTACCCCATTCGGCTTCAATGCCCACTCTGAAGTTAAACCAAACAAGAAGACATAGACTGGCAAATTTCGTGTACGGGCTCCACTTCGTGCTTTTCAGGCCTAGAACGTCCAAGCTGCCTGCTCTAAGTCCTATAAGGAGTTTTATCTTAATGATCCTAGCCCTGACGCCGAAAATAATTTCTTGGCGACATTGGCGCGAAAGCAAATTCTCGGCCTTCCTTACCCTTCATCTTGGCTTGGTGGACACCCAATACGAGCCAGAGGTGTAGCATAGTATCTCGGTGGACAAGGCCGAGTCGCAGCATCGTCGTTTGGCCTCTTCTTTGAAGAGTTCGCCCTGCCAACACGATGAGGTAGATGTCCACGACTTGGAGTATCCCCCTCTCTGGACAGGGTAACCGCCAAACAACCGCCTAACCATCATCTTCTTCGGGTGTAAATTTGAGTTTGCTACATGTCGTGCAGATTTATCGATGTCTGACCATTATGACGAACGTTGTCGTTTATCATATAGGATTCATTTTTTATTGCAAGTGATAATGCGATCCAGAAATGGCTCTCTACTTTTACGCAAAAGCAGGGAGCTGTAAGCTTCTTGACATTCAGTTTTTTGTAATTCATTAAGTTCATGCGGTATCCACTTATCCAGTTTCTTAATTTTACCAATTAATTTGAGGTAAAGGGAAACCGTTGCAGTACTTACACCTAATTCTCTTGCGAGTTCTCGGGGTAAGACTTTACCAATACCCCCCCGTTTTTAGCATATATACGTTACTTTACTCGTTTTGACATGCTGAATATGAATATTGAATCCGTTTTCGGCGGAAATGGCATATGCATTACCTACAAATTTTTTAGAAATAATTTCAACTTTGAACGTGTTTTCTTTGAAACCTAACCCAAACCTGTGTAACTTAAAACTAACCCAAACCTAACGGAAAATCAAACGTAAATCTAATGTAAAGAAATTTGGTGGTACGAAACGAGAGGTACGCATGCCGAGACGTACACGTGCTGAAGGAAAGATGACGATGCCTATACCTTTGAAGAAAGGGACTGCGAAACAGTTCCTTGAAAAGACAAGACAGCATCGTAGGAGAGAAGATGTACAGGAGAGCTTCGCCTCAGATCATTCATTAGTAATCTAGATTCCGCACTGTAAAGACGCGAACGAGCGAATTGTGTTGCTATTGTACTAACGTATAAATACTAAAACGAACGAGTGCATACACAGAAAAACCAATGAAAAGATGACCGCATACTCTGATTTAGACTGGGCTGGTGATATAGGTGACAGAAAGTCATATTCAAGATACATTATAATGTTAACAAATGGACTCATCAGTTGGGTCATAAAGACACGAAAATCAGTAGCACTGTCTATAATGGAAGTAGAATACATGGTATTCTTCGAATTATGTAAAGAAGTAATACACTACTATCTGGATTCAACTGGTATTGAATTATTGGAATAAGAAAAATATAATTTATTTATATTTTTTATTATATTGTTACGAGATGGCCTTAGTCGGATTATTGAGATTCGTACGATCAAAATGATACCAAACACGACTATATTTGTATCAACTTTTGTATTAATTGTAAGCTAGACGAGTAGCAGTAGTAGTGTCCGGATATATGGTCAAAGAGTAATTGAGGAAGTGCAAGGTTTAATAATAATGCTAACGATCAAAATAGGAAGAATAAGAATAATTAGGAATACAAAGTGAGAATAAGTACACAACTATATTTTGTGTTAAGTTTAAATATTTTATTTCAATAATACCCAAGCTTGGTCACCAATTGATTGAATTTCCTTACAGTCGCGTTCTTCCAACAATCTTTTAATAGAAACTAAACTAAAGAAATAATTATTAGGAGTAAGAACATTCCATAATCCACTCTGTTATTTCCTCTTGATTTAGATTTTCAGTAGATTTGAAACTCTCTGGATTCGCTTCGGGATTTTCTAATGAATATGTACGTCTGAAAAGTTTCCTCCACGAATATCTAACATTGTCAGGTGTTATGTTGTTCCATGAGTTTGCTATGAAGTCGATACAATCCTTAATGTCATAATTAGGATAAAATTCTTTAATGCTGCTAGAATATTGGAGTATTCTTCTTAGTAATTGATATCGGAATAATTTTTTACATTTGGCGATTATACCTTGGTCCATCGGTTGTATAATGGAAGTGGTGTTAGGGGGTAGAAACATTAATTTAAAATGATTGTCTTCTCGGAGCTCCTCGGGAATCATATGCCCCCTAAAATTATCGACTAGAAGAAGTACCTTTCTCACACGATGCTCACGCAATTGACACTCCCTTACACTTTTTTTAAAATGGTTTAAGTACCAGTCTGTAAATATTTGTTCATTAATCCAACTATTGTGTTGGTGTTTATACACAACTGGTAAATTTTCTTTACAATGATTCAATGCCCTCGGGTTGGCATATTTGTGGATGAAAAGCACGGGTAATTTATGTGTACCTGTGGAGTTAGCACAAAATGCCACAGTTACATGGTCCTTCTTAACTTTTCTACCATCTACCAGTCGCTCGCCTTGATGAACTAACGTTTTCTTGGGCACAGCTTTCCACATTAAACTGGATTCGTCCATGTTATAGATGTCATCTTCTTGAAAATTTTCATCACGCAATATTTTTGCCAATTCATCAGAAAATTTCTCTGCTGCTAATTCATTAGCATCAATCATCTCTTCATACATGTTTACTAAGCGCATACCGTATCTGGCTTTAAAACGTGAGAGCCACCCTTGACTAGCTGTAAAATTTGACGAACTACCAAACTGTTGTTGGAGTTCCTTCGCCTTCTCCTGCAATAATGCATTTGTTAGGACATCTCCTAATGCTTGCCTTTGTAAGACCCATTCGTATAACTGGCTTTCCATATTTTCATATGAAGATGCCCGTCGCCTCTTTGACTGTGCACGCATCGGATTTTTACACAATTGTCGAATAGTTATTGATTCCAGTCTATACCTTCTTATAGTTCTTTCACTCACACCATACTCAACAGCAAGATCATTGACACTTAAACCTTCTTCTAACTTTTGAAGAATCTCCAAACGTTTCTTCACAGCCACTGTATGTCTCTTTCCCGAAGATGCCATTGCAAAACTATTTTTTATTATACAACACAAATTAACTCTAGACCTTTTTGCTCTGTGGTTGTCGAATGACTGACTCTTTGGCAGTCTGTTTGTTCAGTGCTAAGCTTTGGGACACGCTGATTAGTTACAACGAAAAATGCTAATTGCCAACCAGTGTGTCTAATAGATATCGGGACCATCTTTCCAATGCACCCTTAGCGTACATAACGAAAAAATATTATATTGTGATAGTCGGAATGTGATTCAATTAAATAAAAAATATGTATTTCACGGTTGAAATAAGCACATAGACATTAGATACCATTTTGTGCCTGAAGTACAAACATGTAGAGATATTAAGTTGACATACTTAAGATCAGAAGAAATGATAGCCAATATTTTTACAAAGATATTATCAATCATAAGACATTTAAAATGTACCAGACTATTAAATTTATTTAACTAATATTCTCTGCATATATGTAGGCACATTGATAGAAGAGGTGTTGGAATTGAAATCTTTAATCTAACTATAGATTCTTACCACGTGTGTATGGCACAGTACTTCTGCTTGAGTAATGTATTATGCTGGGATAGCTAAGTTAAGGCATATGGCAAAAGAAAAACGCGTTTGTATTAAAATATACCAAGTTTACTTATTAAACACAAATCCAACTATTCAAGAGTGGAACAACAGAAAGAACCTAATCTTAATAAATTTATACATACCTTACAATACTGTCAAAGTACTTCAATAAATGCTTCACAAACTTCAAAAATTATACCTGATATGTATTGTTTTGAGATTTTAAATAAATATGTTAACCTGTTGTAAAAATCTCTAGTTGTAAGATATCGTAAAGTAACTGCTAAATGTATTGGAGGTACAATAGTCATACAAAAGTTTGTGTTGCATTTATTAATCTTTAATGCTACTAAATTAAGAATCTCTTCAAAGTCACATTTTGATATTCTTACAAACTTTTTAAAACCACACCTATCCTCTAACCTTAAATCAGCCATTAAGCTATTTCTATAGTTTTCACTGTTGTCTAAAAATGTTCCCTTGTACTATGCCTTCTCTTTTTTTTTAAATTTTGCAATAATTATAAATGTAGCATTGGCATCAACAGCTGACACTATTAGATTCATGTTGGAAAGTAAACAATTGTACAGAATGGTAAAAAAAAGTTCGGACTATATTTT